CAATGTTTTTATCCAAAGAAAAAAATGATTCTTTACATGTGTCGATATCGCATATATATATATTATATACATATATTATAGTTTAAACAAAATTTTATGAACATGATAGCAAATGAACTTACTTTTTTTAATTTGTAAGCCGTTGAACCAATGTGTTAAGGTTTATATTTAATATGATGAATTTTTTTTTCAGTTTCCTCAATGCTTCTCTTCGTGAGAAGTGGATGGAAAGAAAAAGAATTTTAAAATAGAAACTGATGATGCATGACCTATTCGGTAATAATATCAGTATCATCTGCAATGTCATCATAAAGAATTTCTAGAAAGACAATATTTATTAAGAATATTTAATTAGTATAAAAACATTAAATTTTGAAAAATGATTAAACACCGTTATGTGATTAATGCTCGCATGTATAATGATGTAAGTTATTCTTTTTTATTTAAAAAGTTCCATCATAAGTATTTTTAATGATAGAGCAAAAAATGATTTTTTTTCAAAGTAATTCTTTTTGTTTCAATAAAATAAGAGTTTTGGAATGGCATTGAAGAGTTCTGTTTGCATGTAAAGATTATTTTAAAATTTCTAAAGTAAAAAAGTGTCATTCAAATATATGTCTTTTAATTAAATTAGTTAATTATTCTTTAAATTAAATATTTTAATAAAATCTTTTAATTAAATTTTAAAACTTTATTTCCATTAAAAGATTTTAACATAATGAAAAGCTTTAAATATAATAAATCTCTTGGTAGAACTATATTTAATTATAATGATGAAAGCAAAAATTTAGGGAGTATTGATATATCCGATTATGAATGTCACTGTGAGGAGGATAAATATTTTGATTTTGTAGATAAACATCATAAACATATTATTGCTGGTAATTTAAATATTATAGAAAACTTATATAGTTTTATATTATAGAAATTATATAAATATAAATTATATAAATATATAGAAATATTATAGAAACTTAGGAATTTAATGATAAAACGCACAAAATTTAGACCCATTTACCATATATTAATCAATAAAATTCTAAAATACTTTCTTAATGATCTCATTAGTTTTAGTTTAAAGATATCATATAGATTCTCTTTATCTTTAGGTATGCTAACAGAATGGAAATGGGTTGTTTGTTATTACTTTAAAAACTTTATTTTTAATAATAAGGATAATTTAAATAACAGTAAAAATTCAATAAATTTTTCCAAAATTGTTCAATCAATTAAGCAACTTTAAAAAAAATTTGTAATTACTCCCATAGACAAAGCTAACAATAATTATGTAATCTTCTGTAAAAAATTCCATGTTGAACTTTTAAATACGGAATTAAAAAATAGTAACATAGTAATTAAAATAATAATATTGTCATTAAAAAAATTTTAGCTTTATATAAAAGATTAAAAATTAAAATTAGCAATATACAATTTCCTTACTTAATTATCAGTCCTAAATTTCATAAAATTCCTGTAAAATTTAGAACTATCACATGTGGATCTAATACTTATCTAACTAAACCTGGCATTACTTTCTCTAACTACTTAAATAAAATTATTAACAATATTTCTAAAGAAGGTTTCTCTTGGATTATCACTAATAATCAACCGATTTTAGAATTCATTAAACATAATAAAATTAATTCTATTGCGACTTTTGATTTCCAGGATCTTTTCAATTACATTCCCCTTTCTAAACTAAAAGATGTCCTTTTGAATTATTACTATGATTTTAAAAATATCCTCTGTTGCGATTTCGATTATTGGGAAATTCGGATTAATTTTTGTTTTTCTCGTAATTATCTTTACAATGGAAGGGATACTTTTCTTCAAATTGATGGAATACCGTAATCTAATTATTCATCTCTCTTAACTAACTTATTTTTGCATTATTATGAAATAAATTATACTCTTAGTATTAAATTTGTTTTTAGATTTATTGATGATTTAATTATCTTTAATTTTCAAGATTACACTATTTTAATAAATAATATTTACCCCGAGGAATTAATCTTGCCTCGGAATCATGAGGATAATATTAATTTCAATTTTTTGAATTTGGGTATTATAAAAGAAGAAAATATCTGCTTTGTTGAATTATACGATAAAAGAAATGATTTTAATTTTAATAATTAAACCAATTAGTTGGAATTCTAATGTTTCTAGTAACACCTATTTAAATACCACCTTTAAGGAAATTAATATAATTAAAAGAATATGCAGTGATATTTATTTATCCAGAAAACAAATAGATAAACTCTTTCAAAATTTGATAAAAAAAACAATGAATACCCAACATTGAGTTAATCGTATATTATTGTGGATATATTTACTAAAAATTTTCTTTGTTAATATATATAATTTTTCCATGTGCAAATCTATTTCGGTCAAATCCGTGGCCAAAATTGTTTACTAAAAAATTTATTTGTTAATTTAAATAATTTTTCCATGTGCAAATCCATTTCGGGCAAATCCATGGCTAAAATTATTTAGTAAAAAATTTCTTTGTTAATATATATAATTTTTCATGTGCAAATCCATTTCGGGCAAATTCATGGCTAAAATTACTTACTAAAAAATTTCGTTGTTAATATATATAATTTTTCCATGTGCAAATCCATTCCGGGCAAATCTGTGACTAAAATTGTGTGGAAAACAGGCAATTCATGTTTCTTTCTCTTTTCTATTTTATATATCTTTTTTTCTTAAACAAATATTTATTTTCTAAAGTTATTTATTGTCAACTTCTTTAAATTATCCAGTATAATATTACCTTGCGCACATCCATTTTCAGACCCATCTTTGGTAACTAACCATAAATCTTAGTTTAAACACACAATTGCAACTCATTTTCCGGATTTAGCCGGTTTTGCAACAGAACGTGATTTCCAATCGTAAAATCGAATTTCCCATTTTTACTATTCAGTTAATGACTTAAAAAAATAGAAAAGTGCTTATCTAAGCAGATGACAGAGAGAGAGATAACATTTTCACTTTAACAAACTTTTTTGGTTGTTATTAATAATCGATGATTATTATTGTAACAACTCTCAATTGCAGTATTTTAGAAAATTATCGCTGTAAGAAATACCAGGCAAAATGCTGGGCTGTTGCTCTTAGCTTTAATACAATAACTGTGGGGAATACCGGACAACAGCTCTTAATATTACAAACAAAAGCATCTTTGTAAGGAATAGTCACGTCAACTCGAGTTCAACGAACACTCTGGATTAAAGAATGTTATACTTTGGTCATTTTCTAATTGTTATAGGTGTGTAAGACTGTATATTTATATTTATATTTATGAACTAGCTTAATATCCGTTCTTCGCACGGGATGAATAGACAGAAAGTAAAGAATCAATTCATCAGTACTGAGAAACACAAACACAACGAAATCATACTAAAAACTGAAACATATACACCGACACACTTAAAGAGCTTGAGGAAAGAACCAGGTGAGTAAAAAGTTTCTGGAAATTAATGAATCAGAGAAAATGATTGCATCAATATGGGTATGTTTAATGCAGCCGAACTGTTTTTGCTTTCCCCTTAATCTTAGCATAACTAATCCACATTAGTATTTAGTATGCTTGCATGAGTTTTATTTAAAATTTATTTATTTATTACAAAAGCCCAGAAGATTGGATGTGACGCCTTCCAATATCTCTGTGCATTACAATTTAAAAACACAAGGGCAGAACACGAGTCAAGATGAGTAGCTTCAAACATTTGATGTTGTCCACACAAGGGACAAAAAGAAGAATCACAAAGCCCAAATCGATACAAATACCCGGGCAAACAGTCATGACCTTTAGTAAGGCGGAAAAGTGCCACAGCTGCTCTTCTAGGAAAATCTGGAATCAACTGTTTATCCTCAAGCAGTAGGGCCCTTCAGAGTTGCATAATGCTTTCTGTCTTATCCTGGTGTTACATCTTCTTTTTATCAGGAGTTTGACTGCGTGAAAGGAGTGGCTTTTCAAAGGTCTCTGGAGGATCCCTGCCCCCTGTTTGGTTAAAAAGTCGGCAACCTCGTTTCCAGGAATCCCACGGTGGGCTAGGATCCACTGGAAGGAAACAGAGATCAACATTACGAGCTCTCTGCACTCCAGAATACGGGTATTATACTGTCTATCTGCAAAAGATTCCAACGCAGACGTGAAGTCTGACAATGTAACCACTGTACAGAATGATGAAGAGTGGTTTGCCAGTTGTTTCAAAGCGATATAAATAGCCTCGATTTCACCATCGTAATGGGGGGAATGAGCGCCAATTGGTGAGTAACACGAAAGAAGATCACAATACACACCGGCTCCAGCTCCGTCTTCATCGCTAAACATCGATCCATCTGTATAGACGTGTAACCATGTATGTCCAGGGAATTTGTTTTCAATAGTAGATAGAGCAATGGCACGGAGCTGTTGATCTCTCATATGACACTTATTAACCTGCCTGTCTAGACTCAGACACACCGAGATCCCTCCATAACTCAAAGGGCAAACAGGCCTATAGAGACGTTTCGGATTGAGGTGGACATTTATGTCATTAGCTGCCGGAAAGGCATATTGTAAAAAATCTCCTTGTGTTTTAAGATTTCTCTTTGCGTTGGTGTCGTAATCCCTACAAAATGTATTGTTGGGTAGGCGAATTAGCCTTTCATAAAGAAGGATTGCGTCTCTTTCAATTATGCTTCGTACTGGAGGGTTTCCAGTCAAACACTGCATTGCCAGAATAGGAGTGAATCTTATAGTGCCAGTAATGGTACGTAGAGCTTGGTTTTGTTCTATGTCGAGTTTTTGAATGGTGCTAGCAGCAGTAGAGATAAGGACTTCATTACAATAACTGAAAATTGGCTGATAGACAAATTTAAGTGTCCCGGCTGCATCCCCATTTGCAACCAGCCAACCTTTTTAAAACAGGAAGTCTCTTAATAATTTTTCCACACACTTAATCAACATGTCTTTCCCTTCTCAACTTAGAATCCAAACTGCATCCTAAATACTTCGTGCTTTCTGATCTTTGAAATGCCGACTTCTGATCTTTGAAAGGACGACTAATTTAGACAGAAAAATCGGCAGATGGTCTTGGATTTATTAACATGCATGGCGTTGTCAGAACACCAAACACTGAGTTGCTCAAGGGCTTTAATAAGTGTAGCGTTAAATAAATAATAGCCTGTCCTGGGAGTTCTTTGGCTCACTCGCCCACATAGCCAGGTCATCAGCAAACAGAGCAGTTCTTATCCCGGGAATATTTTCCAATGAGTTGATCCGATCATTGATATAAATATTAAACAATAAAGGGCTCAAAACAGCGCAATGTAGAAGTCTAGATTCCATTTGTTTGAATTTGGATACAGAGTTTCCAAATTTCACGGTACAAAACCTCTGACTGAAGAAATCACGTAGCCATCGTGATTTTATTGTTCAGAAATTTTGTTACTAAGAGGTTTCGTTAAATACTTCGTGATTTCTGATCTTTGAGCTTTATTTAAAATTAGGCAGTGTTAAATAAAATTATTAGTCCCACCTTCTTAGAAATCGGTTATAAAATATTTCGGATGCAATTTTTTTATGTCTTGAAAATGTCGCTTACCTGGTTCTTCCACAATTGAATTATTGCTAAAATACAATTGCTAAAATGATTTTAATTTTTTTTATTTAATATTATTTGTTGCCCTTTTCGGTGGCTTTATGTTATTGAAGTAAGCAAATATCGTTTTTTGTAGTTTATCCTATTAGAATAAAGATAAAATGCATTTAGTCTCACTTGCCATGATGCTATTGCTCGCAGCCAACTCAAGATAGTCAAAATTTACCACTATCAAGTAATTTTTTCCTCACATATCCGATACATATTCCTGTCGAGGGGTATGCAAAGCACTTATTTCCAATGTATCGGTATTAAAACCGCTTAGTATTGATGTAGTTTTAATAGTCACCAAATATGTCAATATAATATTTTATACCTATATTAGTACATTTAGTACTTATTACTTATTACTAAGGCCCGGATTTTGATGACATTTGCATTTTTTTGCATTTTTTGCATTTTTGGACATCTTTTGTCCTTTAGAGCATTTTTTGAGATTTATAGGGCATTTTCTTTAAAATTTTGGGGCGTATTTTGCATTTTAAAGCATTTTTTAAACTTTTTGTTAAATTTTTCTAATTTTCATTATTTTTTATAATTTTTTATTATTACACTGGCTTCCAAACAATGAAGAAAATTTCTAGGATATTAACAGGTGAAGCAACATCTTTTCAAATTGAAGAAGAATTGTCAGTAAGTGTGACCGTCCTTTTCAAGTACGCACCAATAACATCAGTAGACGTTGAAAGAAGCTTCTCCTGGTATAAAAATTTGCTTTCAGACAAGAGACGCTCGTTTACATTTCAAAATATTAAAAAAAAATTTAATAATCCACTGTAATTCTGATATTTAGTAATATTATGAGATGGAAGTTGTTATATTCATTTAAGTTTCTATACAAAATGAAAATGTTTTGGAGTCAATATATTTTCCTTTTTTTTGTTATTTTTGGATATAAAACATATTTGTCGAACTTTAATGAACGTAGAACAAGTATTGCATTGCTTTATATTTTTTGAAACGACTCGTAATAATTTTGAAGAGTAAAACATTGTTTTAGTTCAATATTTTTACTTCTATTTAAGTCATGTCATAAGGCATTTTTAGCGCAATTTTCGCATTTTAAGGGCATATTTTGCAGTTCATAAGGGCATTTTTTGCACTTTTTAAGGGCATTAATTGAGATTTTTTAGGTCATCCAAATCCGGGCTCTACTTATTACCCTTCAATGTTTCAATTACTTGCGAAATGCATTTGTCAGTAGCAGCCAACTGAAGCCAATTTTTAAAAAATATCAAATTCTTATTAGAACTCAATAAGGATTTTGGAGCATGATCCTGACTTTTTAATTTACTGCTAAAATATTCATAAGTAGTGGGGGAAAAAAGCTCTTAAAATATTAAAACACTATCTTTGGTGCCACTGAAAAAAATATTTTCTGAAACTACAGAAAACCCGTTATAGAATTCCTATCAAAACTGCACCAATTACCATAATACCAGTAGTACATATTACCGTCAGTAGTACATATTAATTGAGTGTTATCGTTATCTATGACTGGCGTTTTTCTACGGTTTTTTTAAACAAATTACCCATTAACTCTTTTTTCCATCTCTCCTTTTTGGGACACCTTTATTTTTATTTTATTTCAATTAATACATATTATCAATATTAATTAAGCATTAGTATCAATAACAATAAGGCGGTATTTACGATTCCTCAAGACAAATAAGCATTTTTCTGCATTATTTTTTGTTTTTTGGTACATAAGTTATTTTTCTTATTTCAATTAATACATAGTATCAACATTAATTAAGTATCATAGCTGTCAGTGATAGCTTCATAATTTCTTACGGTTCTTCAAGACAAAAAAAAACTTTACTTCACTGCTTTTAATTAGGCTAATAAAAGAAATAAGCTGATAAAGGAATTAATAAAAGAAATGAGCTATGTACTAGAAAGTACATAGCTTATTTCTTTTATTTCAGTATCCTTAAATTAATTAAGCATCATTGGCGTCAATAATAATATGACGATTTCATGCCTTTCTCCTAAACGAATTAATATCATTTTCTCATTAATTTTATTTTTGGATACAAAAATATTTTTTTGATCCACTTACCGTTGATTTTAAGTAACAATTTTTAGTAAAACGTTTTAAAAGAATTAATATAAATAAAAAAGAAGCACGTGGTATCTGTCAACTTCAGAAGTTTAAGTAGACCACGCGTGTTACCATGTAATGTTGTTCCTTGAATTTATCCGACGTAGCGAATATGAAATATTTAAATATGTGCAATAAACTCTTTTTTGATCAAATAAGGCTATAAGCTCAAATATAGTTATAAGCTATAATTATCACCGTTATTTCAAAAAATATGCAAAAAATTGAATCGTCTATAGTTAAATTTAAAACAATGACTAACACTTAACCAATCCGAAAATTTCATTTCATTTTTCTCTCATCCCGCTCGAACGGTTCGAGGTAGAATGTTCTAATGTAGACAGTGCTTCAAACTATCTGTATGCCAAATCGCATTGCTTTTTGTCGGGGTGTTTAGGACTCTGTAAAGGACACACAGACAGACATTTCTTATATTTATAAATGAAAAATTAAAAACATGAATATTTCTTTATTATCACACTTTACAACAAAACAATACGACAAAATTAAGAATCGAATTATCAAAATTAATGTTTTGAAAGTATAACGTTGATTACGGATAGATTTTAAAATGCAAGAAATATAATTCTATATTTTTTGAAGTATTTTACGATCATCTTAATCACACTTTCAAGTATCACGACAGTAGCCTGATTAATGAAGTTGAGAAATTGTTCTTCATTAGAACTGCTTTCCAATGTGACGATGTCATTTACGTCTGACAACATGGTCTTTTCCGTTTGCTGTATATCGATATTACGGCACATTATATTTATACACATGAATAAAAATTAGAAACATGAATATTTCTTTATTATCAGAATTTAAAACAGATAAATACAACAAAATTTAGAATCGTATCATCAAAGTTAATATTTTAAAACTGTAATGCTGATTATAGATAGATTTTAAAATGCAAGAAACTTATTGCGACATTTTCTGGAAATATTTTACAATCATCATAATTACTGCTTCAGGTATCATAACAGGAGCATGCAAGATGTGACTGAGAATTAATTCTAAATTATGAACTGTTTGCCGGACGATGTCATTTACGGCTGACATCATGGTCCTTTCAGTGGAGACATGCTGGGGTTGCACACCGTCGCCTGTTGTTTGAGCTGCAGTTAGTAAAATATTGGCTAACAACAAAACTGCTACTACCTTAATGTTCAGCATCTGAAAAACACTTCAATGATTTATATAGTGCAACAAAATACCTGAATTACTACTTTAGTTAATATTGCGATAAAATACAAAATACTTGAAGTGTACTGTAATTAAAATCTTGTATATATTTCAATGTGCTTGATGGCAATAAGCTGATGTAACTATTTCAATGTTCTTGTTTGTGGTTTTTACAATTTTTTTAAAACAATCAAAAATTAAATATTTTATTTAAATTTAATTGTTTTTTTTTACTTTTTCAGGCTTACTTCAATATTTAAATTATTTAAGATTTTTTGCTTCAGTTATTTATCTATTTAAAATTAAAATGATTTTAAAAGCAAAATTATGGCAATGTGTTTGAATCTGTACGAATACAATAAAATTTGTTTTATAGTGACATATAACGCATGCAAATTTACTGAAAAAAAATAATAATATACCTAGGTTGTAGATACTTACTTTGTCTACAATTTCATAAATATTTTTATAAGGAACAGGTTAACCTACTTATTTGATCAAAACAATCGCACTATAAGCTGAAGCAATTAGTATATATCTATACCTGGTTTTCTTTTTAAATACTATATTATCCTGAAAAAAATATGGTCATAACTACTGGAATATGATAAGATTTACCGTGTTCCTGGCTTTAAGAGAACACAAAAAAGCACGGTAATTTTTACCGAAGCGCTTTGACTTTAGGAGAATTAGCAATATAATATTGTTTTATATATTGCGTTAGAATTTGGCAAATATGGTAAAAATTGGTTATTTCATAGTGATACCTTAGAGCATGGGATAAAAACATTTATTGGGTTAAATTTACTTTTCTGTTTTGTATTTTCTACTAAATGTGTGATAACGCGGACGATTATTCCGAAAAAGAATTTCCGGTAAACCGTTACCATATGAACGAAAAAACTACCAAGTAAATGGTTTTAATAGTTTTTGGCTTAATAACCAGAATTAAGGTCCTTTTACCGGTTTTTATACCACTTTGTACTTAAAAACTTAAAAATTATTCATATATATTCTTACAAATTTTTACCGGTTTTTATACCACTTTGTACTTAAAAATTTAAAAATTATTCATATATATTCTTACAAATTTAAAAAGTATTAAATAAGTTCTTTAAAAGGAACACAAAAATGCATCTTTACTTTTTAAAGCCTATAAATGCCATCAGTATATTTATAACAAATTTTAAAATTATGAAAAACCGAAAAAATTATCAAAATGAAATTTTTTTCAATTTTTAAATCAAGCATTTTTATTTTAAAAATAATTTGATTTCAATCGTTTACGATTTGAAAATAAAATTCAGTATATTCACTCAGGAAACCCTGGTTTAATTTTAATATTTTGCCAAGTTAAAAGTTAGTACTTAAGTTCTGATCTAATTTCTAAATCTGAATACTTATATACATAAATCCAATACTAAGTCTGAATATTAACAATACTTAATTTGAAAATAATTTATTGAAATTTTATATTTCAAGTACAAATAAAAATTCGCATCGAGACAAAAATACGAATTGCTTATCAAGAACAAGATTAAAAAAAAATTTCTAGAGTACAATACCAGTTTCAGTGCAATTAGTAATTCAGATTAGACCAACAGAACAATACGAATAAAATACCTTCCTCAATATTGGTTGATTGAGCAAAATAATATAAAACGAAAAAGTATTATTTATGTATTATTTATGTAAAAGGAAAAAAATTACGTTATGCATATTCTTCAATTGAAATCTGAAACTTAACAAAGATCAAAAATAAGTGAATATACGCTGGAATTTCACTTATAATTTTTTGAATTAATTTCTAATGATTCGAAACACTTGCGTTAGTTACATTAATTATGTTTTATTACTTAACACTTATTTTTTCAGGTTGACTTAATAGACAAATTAATGGTTAAAAAAATTTAACAAAAAAAAAAAGAAAAGGAGAAAAAATTCCGAACAAAAAGCATATTATTTGCAGAAATGTACTATTTCATAAGACAAGAGTTCCCTTAAAGAACAACCTTTAACTATTTTAAATTATTCAACAAGAAAGGATTTCACATTTAAACAGTGCCCATGTAATTGAGATTTCATTTATTACCGTAATGTAGCATGAATATGTATATGTATATTCATACTATATGGTGGTGATACTTAAAGTTACCCTTTTTAGACCAAAATAGTGTCCATTTTAAGGATTGAATGTCGATTTAATTTGATAATGTTGTGTCGGTGTAGACCACGAGGCAGAAAAATGCAATAAAAATAATTTCGATCGGTAGATGACGAGCGATTTTTATGAACGAGAAAAGAGGTTAATGCAATTTAGAGAGGTTTAAAAAGACTGTAATAATTCTTCCTAATGTCATTTCAGAAGCAGTAGAAGGAATTTTAAAAAGAAATTATGAAATTCTAGATTTGTTAAGGAAGGGAAGGACAAGACGACAACAGTTTAATGAACAACTGAAGCTGAATGCATTATGTGATCAGTATTGCTATAAATAAATCGAAATATCTTTCATGCTTCGGTTTGACGCTCTAAACGCGTTTGACGGAAGTAGAGTGACCATTGAACATATGCTATTATTAGAACCCTTTAAATAATACGGTAATATTATTAAAATTATTCGACAAGTATGCAGCCATTTTTTCAATTATATGAATAGGTTGCTTATAATCTAGAAATCGAAACTTAATTTAAAAAAAAAATACACTTTTCAACACGTGGGGCATGTACTAACTATACTGATGAATTATTTTCTAAAACGCTTATTGAAATGAGAAAAAAATTTTAAGAAGTTCAAGATCATGTATAAAGTCAGATACTAAACGCAATAGGAAATATTGGCTTCACAAATTAGAAATATTCCCATTTTTTTGTAGGGCTGGGGTGTGATATGCCCCGAAAGCGTTCTCGCGGGTATTGAATAAATGTCATGACTTTATTGAAATTTACAATTTTGCAATTTATTTCAGTTTTTGTAAGTAATTTCAATAAAGACTTTAATTTACATAGGTTAGTCAAGCATAAGTTGCTAAGAAGTAATCACTTAGAAATGAAGAAGGAGAAATTACTAAAAATAAAACAAAATACAAATTGAAAAAAACTATTGTTTCAAGTGAAATAAAAAGAACAAAATAATTTAATTCTGCCAGACCTTAAAGAGGAAGCATAGGGCGCATGACTACTGAAGGATTTTCTACAGTGATAATTGTAAGTTCACACAAAAGTAATTCACCATACATTTTTCATTTTATGTCTGACAAAAATAAAATTATTTTACTTTATAAATCATTCATTTACTCTATAATCATTTACTCTATAAATCATTCATTTTCTTTATAATCATTTACTCTATAAATCTGTACTATCATTCAGCTATAGACATTCTAGCTATTCAAAAATATTCCATAAATTGAGGATAAATTCACTTTGGTAATCTATACTATCACTCTATAAATCTATATTATCATTCAGCTATAGACATTATAGCTATTCAAAAATATTCCATAAATTGAGGATAAATTCACTTTGGTGTTAATGTGACAATAAATTCTATTTCATTGGCCTGGAAACTATCGAAACTTGTTTTGTCATCAGTCAGCTTAAAAAAATTCTGAGCATTCTAGTTGGAAAAGAAAAATGATCGCGGAACTTCCATTGACAATAATTTCGCCATTTGGTGATAAAATTCTTTTTGTAGCAGTGAGGAAATAATTGAAACTTGTTTGGTCATTAGTCAGCTCCAAACTAATCTGAGCATTTCAGTTCAAAAGAAAATAATCTGATCTATTGACAGTAATTTTTATTTGGTGATAAAAATTATATTTGTAACTGTCCGAAAATAATTAACATTTATTTATTCTGTCCTTAGTTAGGAAACTGAGCATTCTAGTTGAGAAGGAAATTATCGGAATTTCTATTGACAATAATTTCCCCACTTGGTGATAAAATTCTGTTTGTAGTGGACAAAAAATATTTGATACTTGTTTTGTCATTAGTCAGCTCCGGAGAAAAATTTGAGCATTCCAATATGAAAGAAAATAATTGAAATTTCTATTGTCTAAAATTTCTATTTGGAGATAAAATTCTGTTTTTAGCGGTCAAGAAACAAACTTGTTTTGTTATCAGTATGCTTAAAAGAATCTGAACATTCTAGTTCACTTACCTTATAAGCTTGATCATCACATAATGAATGGATCGTTTTCGTCTTTTTATATGCTATAATTTCAACCAAAATTCAAATTTTATTTTAAAATTTTAATAATGTCTCTTTAATTTGTTTATCTTAATGTTATCAAATTTTTCTGCATTGTAATGGTTTTAAATTATTTAAATAGTTGTTATGATATTACTTTTTCAAGGTTACCTGTTTTAATCAGCAGTCATATGTTTTGCTTTAAAATTACTATTTTATTTCAAATAAAAGAGTATAAGGGTGATTCTCAAGAAATATGACAATTTACAGTCTTTTGCTCCAAGACCTACTACTATAATATTCAAAGAACTTTTTTTTTTAAATTTTATAAATAGCATTGCTGTTAGTATTTTAAAATGACTTTGTACCACTATTGACTGCTTTGTATT